AAAATAATAATAATAATTGTATTGATTTTTTTGTGCGCTACAAAATGATTTTTATTTATTTATTTTCCAAAAACAATTGTTGGATTTCATTATACTTTAAATACATAATTCAAATGTTTAGTCTAAAGTTGTTTAAATAATTTTTATTGAGATTGCCTGCAAAGTTTCAGACTTTGGCGTTAAGATTAGAAGAATGAGGAAAAAAATTCATTTATATTCAAAAATATTTTACTAAGCCGTTATAACAAAATATGTTGAAGTACCCACAATAAGGCGAAAATAACAATAACAAACTTTATGGCAAATAACATCATAATTTTAACAGCAGAGTAACAATAATAAATGTGTCAAATTCATGTGCGGTACAGTTCCTGGGTCATTTCTGGGGAAGTCAAAATAAAATTTTTATGCTTCTAACTGTAAATAAATTCAGAATCATCGCGAGCCCGCTCCACTCGCTCTCTACCAGAAACAGCCGGATCATCAGCTTGATCATCACTACTCAAATCATCGGAACTGCTCGCACGTTTCAAGACTCTGCTTGGGAAATAACCATTACAAAGTAAATTAGATTCAAAATTCTTCAATCGACCGCGGCGCTCCTTTTCCATTCGATGAAGTTTTTCGTAATGTGGCTTCATAAATTTGAAGAAACCAAAATCCAGCGGATATGGAACTGCCAGAGCCTTCAGTACGCTCACATAGACGGTACGACCTTGCATACGATGACTGAGGTTCACGAAATGGCAATGAGTGTTCACAATAAACTGATACATAGGCGTGCTAGAACACATTGCAGGAGGCAGTGTCCTAAAAACAATACAGCAACCATTGTGCAGCAGAACTTCATAAGGCAGCATATCTTCCGGAAGAGGAATTTGCAGTTCCAGCGTACAAGCCGTTTGATAGTAAATGACCTCGGGTCGAACTACATTTGACGGCAGCTGAAATTGTATTTGTATATCGTGTATTGTATATTCGATAACTGAATCCGCAGCAGCATCTAATTTATTAGGAACGCCTGGCCGTGCCTCCAATTCCGGCTCCGGCCTCGTCATATTCTTCAACGATTCATCAGGCATATTCTCGATACAATCTTTTGTTAGCAGGTCATTCTCTTTATTATCCTGCTGCAGCTGCATCATTGTGCATTTCATGAGGCAATTGCACAATGCTTCTAAGCTATCCTCCGATTGTTGCTGCTGCTCTCTCTGCTTCGTAGTTTGTACGTCATCCAGCTGTTGCTGCTCCTCCAGCTCCCGTTGCTTTTGCTGCAGGCGCAATCTATTCTCTTTGCCCAGCTGCAGCGCCATTTTGGCAAAGATGCTAGCTCTGCCTTTGAGCAAAGTTTCTGTCTTCATATTTAGCTTTTGACGCGGCAGCTCGGACGTTTTCGGCAAATCCAGATTTTGGCATGGGTCCCTCTCTAGAAATTTCAACAGTTTCGCCTCGGCCTTTTTGCATTTCTTGGCCAATTGCTTGCGTAGCAACTGCTGGCAGATAGTGAGGCTACGCACATGCAATTGTAGGTTGGGCGCGTAGCTTGTCACTGCCAAGTCGTGGACAAAGAGCGTATGCGACAGAGCCGCCAGAATACGTGCCTGCAAGAAACTGGGCTGCGGCGTAGAATTTAGCCAGGTTTCACATTGCTTGCCATCCTTTTCATGCCAATTGCGCTCGCCTGTGTAGGGCACCACGCCCACGATGCGCACATCTATTGCCAGTGGCGGCTCGTCTTGTAATTGTTCTGGGCACATGAACAGCTTGCCGCTGGTGGTCGTAAACTGTCGAGTGTCCATGTCCAATGCCTGCACCGTCACGGATAAATCAGTTCTCGAGAGATTTAACTGAGCAATAGGGTCCACTCGCAGTATCCGCACGCGTTCGTACCCACTCGAATTGCGATACACACAGATTTGTTTGACCAGCGGTGGCCAGACGCGCACACACTCCTGCGATTGTAGCAGCTGTAGCTGCAGCTCCAATGCTCCGTTGCGAGACAGCGCTTGCCAGCAGCCACCGGGTGGCAAATGCTCTAATAGACGGACACAATAATGGGTCGGCGTATAAACACGTATTAGCTGCATCTTGACATCCCCGCGAGCAGGCATCTGCGCGGGCAGCAGACGATCGTGCATCAGCAGCTGATGGCGCTCTTCACATTGCGTATCGACACATTCACCCAAGCTGAGCAGCAGATCGCATAGAGCCGCCTCATTACTCTTGGTGCGTTCTATCTGCATACGAATGCTGCGAGCCAGCTGGACAACAAGTTTGTCCACTTCCTGATGCATTTGCAAGAAGTCCACCAAACGCGGCAGCTGATTGTTATTGCTCTCATCAAGCAAAACCAGGGAAAGTAAACGATCTGTAAATGAGAAGTTAGACAACATAGCTAATATATTACAGTTCACTTACCCTGCTCAGGCTGCTGCCCTGTTTGCTCCTTTAGATCTGTGGCCGCCAATTGGTTGTTCAGATTATCTGCGAGTGCCAGATGACGCAGCTTGAACAGACTCCAGCTATCACTCAAGCTATAATGTAACAGCGTATGGGCGTGTCGCACATCCAGCTCCGGGCAGTGATCGGTGCAAAGCAACAGCTCGCCTTGACTATCCTGCATCCAGCGATGCACATGATCGCGCACCTCCAAGTCTGCCGTCTGATAATAGGGCAAACAATTATAACCATGCAACACCAGCGTGTCCACCAGCTCACGTATGTCCGAATCCGATTGGCAATTGACGACAGTCCGATGCAAATGGGGCGGACGCTCGCGCAGTACACGCAACACCTCTCCACACTTGGCCTTTCGCTGTTGAAGAGAGATCTGCAGGCGCGTGCCGCCATAGACAGCCGCCTCCAGCACATCACCAAAGAGCACCATGGGCTGGGAATTGAACTCGCGTAGCTTAGAAAGCAGCTGCGGTTTATACGATTGCGAGCTAATGACTAGCTGGGGTCGTTCTGGATTGGTCAATAGCAGCAGCTTTTGATGAGCCTGTTTCAATTGCTCAGCTTGCATTAAATCTGCATCATCGTAAGCCACAAATCGCAGATGGGGCAGCTTTAAGCCATTCCCGCACACCCACAGGAACTGAGCAGGCGTGGCCACCAGGCAGCCCACGCCGTTGAGTAGCCGCTGAAAGAACTCCGGGGTATAGGAGGAGGGCACTGTTAGCACCAGTGTCAACCACTCCTCGTTCCTCGACTTGCGCAACATTGCGGCGCAGAGTACGCTCAGTTGTTGTACTCGGACCAAATCGGCGACCAGAACCAATGCAATGGGGCCCTCCAAACACCATCGCGGGCGAGAACGGTGCTCCGTCAAGGTGTTGCTCACCACCTGGCACAGTGGCAGCACATAACTCAATGTGCGTCCACTGCGCGGTGCACTCACGATAACAGCGCCATGGCCTGCGCCTTGGTTGAGATGTGGCCAGGCGTAGCTTTGCAGTCGCAGCAGTTGCGTCAATCGCAAGCGACGCATCGCGCCTTGAATGTGAGGCAAAAATGATACCTCGTTTATATGGCGCGCAGGCTGCAGGCGTTTGTTCGAGTGGGCTACGGCGTAGTCTGAGCAATTCGCAACGAGCAGAGGTCGACATTGCTGCGCAAATGAAAGACTCCTGCTTTCATCGTAGCACAAACCTTCCTCGTCGTCATTATTGTTGTCGTCTATTATGCACTTCGCCGACCACATCACCAAACTGCATATGCTTTCAATAGTTTTTCTTGTACTACTAGTGAAGTTGGCTGCGCTTACGACAATAAATACTTATTGGACTAAGCGACGGCTTGAGTATCTAAACCGGTTGGTATTTTTGCAACCATTTGGTATTTTTTAATGCGTAATTAATTAATCCAATATATTTTCAATTGTATTATACAAAATTGGCAATCGACTTAACTCTTCCAACAACAACAGCACAAGGGTGCTCATTCATTAATACATTTATTCATTACAAGGTGGTGCCTGGCTAATATACACTATTTGTATTTAGATCACTCGCGTTCGGCGCGCTCATTAATTATTTGCTGTACTATCAGTCCACTTAGTATTTGCCTCGCCACGCGACAGCCATGGCACGGACAATTCGGTGAATTTGGTATATGCTGCAGTGTGGGTGGACTCTGTAGACGTCGCTTGAGCTCCAACAATCGTTTTCTATCCGTGCGTGATTTGCAGCAGACGACACTGTAGATGATAAGACCTACCAGTGTTGCCAGATCAGTATGATGAGCTTATGGCTTGCCACTCTTCAACTGAAACTTACCTCCACCGACGATCAAAATGTGCAGCAATAGGGCCACAAAAGCCACTCGCCTCAATGGATCCAACGGCACATAATAAATATTTGCTTCCTTAGTGTTTCTGATGATTGCATATCCATTTGACTTAGTTGTTGTATTATCAACGTCCTCTAACAAGTGCGTCCCATTAAACCAGTCATCTCCTGAAATATTTGAATTCAATATGACATCTCTCAAATTGACGAACTACTTCCACTTGCCCGTGAAGTTGTTAGCCTCCAAGCATTTAGGATAGGCTACAAGTAGGAGCAACAGCAGCGACAGCAATAACATTCTTTGCTCTATTGTGGGTTCTTTGCCTTTTGCTTACAAACTGAAGCTTCGATCAGCAACGGCTCTAATATGAAGTCTCACTCGATCAATTAAATGGGCAAAAACAGCTGCGAGCAATCTGTTTGGCGCAGGTAGGAGCATTTGGATTTGGACGACCAAACACCATAGATACCATTAAGTGCTGGTACGGAAGGTAACTTCTGAAAATATTTCTCAATTTGCTTTCACCTAGATATTTATCATAAATTGCCAGTACATACATCGAAGCAAAGTACTGCTCTAATTATTAAACATTTTAAATAGATATAAATCAAGAAGTCAATATACTTTTAACTAGGTATGCGTTGAGCTCCATCGAAATATATTTTTTAGCTGAAATTATTCCTTAAAGATATGAAAACATTATGTCTTTGTCTCGTATGAAGTCATAAATACATATAGTGTACCCATTATCTTATATTCTGTCTCGCTTTTTAAGTTGGCTTGAAAAATCATGACCAATTTGAAATTAGAACAATATTATTCAGGACAAAAGACTTGTATTTTTATACCCTGAACCCATTGAAAATGGGAAATCAGGGTATAATGGTTTTGTGAAAAAGTATGTAACGGGCAGAAGGAGGCGTGGCAGATCCCACAAAGTATATATATTCTTGATCAGCGCGAAGAGCTGAGTCGATATAGCCATGTCCGTCTGTCCGTCCGTCCGTCCGTCCGTATGAGTGCGTCAATCTCAGAAGTTATAAGAGCTAGAGAGCTGAAATTTGGCATGCATACTCGTGTGTACCATACGCAGACCTGGAGTCTTCAAATTTATGTTGTATATCAAATTAATTGATACAAAGATTTTGTAATTTACAGATTTTGGATACCACGCCCCCTTCTCCCCCAATTTGTAAAAAACGCATTTCAAGTACTAGAGACTTATGCTNAGCGCAGTCGCTGCTTACTGCGCAGTTAGCAGAGGGCAGGCTTATGCGTGCGTGTGGATGCATGTGTATGTATGTGTGCATAAAAGAGGTGCAGAATAATTAGATTATCAGCTTAGAGGGTTCAGGGTATCTCCTAGTCGAGCAGTCTCGACTGGAGCCTTCTTACTTATTTAGGTTTTTTTTTAAGTTTTAGAACATATGAGGGGCATGAGTCAAAGTCGAAGAAATACATATTAATACGTATGTATTCAATGCCCATTAATGCACAGATGTAGCAAAACAACTATAGTGTGATTTCTCATTTAAAAACATCTTAAATCTTAAATAAAACCTCATGATAAGAGTAATTTTTATAGATAAAGTTTTAAGCTCATTGCATTGAAAGCCATTAAATTTTTGTCAATAAATATTGACTTAAAACAAATAAGATGAATTGTCTATGATTTATTAAGCTAGATCATAATCTAAATGACGAATTGAAGGACTGACAAATAGGGCTTAGGATCAATTCCTCGGTCAGTCATAGAAAACACTGTGCAGATTCTTAGTTAGAAAACAAATTTATGAGTATGATTCCTTAAACAATGTATGTACAATTAAATGCTGCGCTTGTCGTTGCTTAAGCCTAATAGAACTCTACATTTCAAAGATATCAAGACTTATTGACTCAACATTCAGTTCCATTCAGACAGTCCTCCAGGCAACGCTCCTTCCGCGCCCTGCTGCATCCGCGGCAGATGCAGTCCACGGCATCGGGAGTGTGCAGAAAGGTCAACTCCAGCACACGGGCCGTCTCGGTGGGCATAGAGGGCCAAACAATGCTCTGCGTGCGTGGAGCGTAGGAGTCCAGGCTCTCAGCTCTTCGTCTTGCCAGGCGACAGCAGGTGCAGAGAAGGCAGCCTGTGAAGGAGTCAACGGTTAGTATTCCAAGTGTGAAAGCAGCCACGCACCGACCTACCCAGGCAGCCGAGAAGTGTCAAAGCCAATGCGCCCAGGCCGGCTAGGAAGAGCATACGATGGCTGTAGTAGACAGCAGTTAGTGCGGCCGCAAAGTTCTGGCTCGGACTCTCGCTCACACAGACCGACTCGCACATCGTTTGACAGACTATGATTAATAATGCCCACGTAATGGAAATGCATCGTGTGCGCTCAGCCAAATCCATTTCGTTAATGACTAAAAGACTTGGCGTAGCTCCACTGAAACTGCTCTTCTGCTACTTGAGGCTACCCACCGAAGTCGTACGGATTCCGAAAAAGAAAAGAACAAAACACAAAACAGTTGTGCAAGCCACAGCGACATCGCAGACAGTCGATAAAGAGAACTTAAAGCAACTAGCCTCAAGAACAGCTCAATAAAATTGCAATTTATGAAATGATAGCAATTCTGAGTGCTGGATGTTGAGAGTGTTTTAATATACTATTAGAGTGAATGTAGACAATATTTATAATTGACTTGTTTAGACAGAAGTTAATTTGAATTGAGCTCGAGCCAGGTTGGAATTTTCTTTTACCAATTTAGAAAGTGATTTAGTACTCGAATATAAAGAAAAAGTTTAACCTAAACTAGTGGCAATGAGCCTGTCTTAAAGCCATTCACAGTACAAATCAATGCAGCTCAATTAAGAGTGACAAATAAAATTCAAACAATTTAAAGAGCAAAAATTATTGCCGCGTGCCAAGTTGAATGCCATGAAATGCCAGGCAACTGTGCTGCTCTTTTGTTTGAATTGCCAATTTTCTTGCATATATTAATATATATACGCGTACATACTTGTAAACATATACAGATACTTCTATGTGTGTGGGTATTTTGCTGTTATTATACCATAAAACGTGCCAATGTTTGCAAAATATTTTCGCGCAGACAAATGGAAAATTTCTCGTTTGTATCGATGAATTGTGGGCTGCCTTTTAGGCGCCAGGCCGTGTCCCAATGTTGATTTGCATGAAAGTCGTTGGCATAAGGATAGTGTTATTATAATAGAACGTGTCTGAGCCCGGGCACAACTCGAGTTTGAGAGCCACACGGCATAGAGAAAGCGGAAGCTCTCCACTGCTTGCTTCAATTGGAAATTTTAGTTTTATAGGGGTAACATTTTTGTGTTTTGAAGCTGGTGGTCATCATTCATGTGTGTCATGCTGTCACCTTTAAAAAATAAAAGGCACATGCCACGCCCCTTTGCCCTGTCGCTGGCTGTTAAATCAACGTGAGCGCACTCGTCATAAACCAAATAAACAGTTGAGAAATTACATTTAAATTGCAAATTTTAAGCTCTGAAAAAACAAAAAACCCATGCACGCACACACACACCCACACCCACACGCACATACACATACACATAAGAGCTGCATGAAATTTATGCGTAAGGTAAAAAATAATAACAAAAAACAAAACAAACAAAAAATAATAAAAACGACGCTCAAAAAGTTTTTGACAAAAACATTAATTCACTTAGGAAATACCGCATAAAGTTGGCACTTCTTTCTCTTTATATTTCTTATTTTTCACTTGGTTCTTTTTTTAAATCGCAGTTTTCTTTCTAGTACTTTTTTTTCCATATTTTCCTGCCTTTAGCTTTTAAAATTCAAATGAAATGCGAATGCATTCATTCTGTGTTCCCAAGGCAAGGCGTTTGCAACTTTTCAGTCGGCGCCATTAAAAACGGGCGACAAATAGAGCGGATTAAATGGAAATGCAATTTCTGTTGCCCCATTTTTCGGATGGGGGCCCTGATGAGATAATATGCAAATGCCAACAACATTTGCGAGCAGATCGATGCAATCTTTTCGCTGTAAATACAATATATAACGGTTAGTATTTTGCTCCACAAAATTTTCACGTAAACAAGAATAAAAGGAAATACGCAATTTATGTATTTCAATTTAATATTTCGAAGTGGCAGCGCTTTTTCGATAATCCAACCTCGATCCCCTGCCAAACTCTATCGATAAATTGTAAAATTTGCACGCATAGCTATAGTGCTGCCTATCAACAACTTATTAGTGCAACCAATCGATATATCGAATTTTGAATTCCTACGAAATCATTAAAAATAAATACAAATTAGCAGAGGTAACAATTTGCCATACTGCAAGTTATACAAGTTAAAATTTATCAATCCTGACAAATTTGTAGGTAGTAGAATGTGAGTATTGGAATCAGTATATGACAACAGAGTACTTTGGAAATGAACAATTCAATTTCTCAATAATTCAGTTCAATATATTGCGTATGGCAAATATAATCTTAAGGATTTAAATGCCTAAACATAAAGCAATTTGCCCATCTATTAAGCTTTTAGTGAGCTCGCAACGCCTTTGGAACTCTGCGCGAAGTCTGGTTAACTTGTGAGCTTAAGTAATATCTTCTACTTTTTTTTAAGCATTCAATCAACAAAAATGACGCATTTCGAATTCATAAAAATCAAGTGAAATGCCACTTTACGCGCATTTTGATTGAGATTTAGCGCTGAATTTGCGATTACCCACAACGACGAGGACTAACCCAGCGGACAAGGACATCTCTGGCATCTTGCCACAGTCCTATGAATATTTTATGAAGTCAAGCTGAGAGTGAAAAACAAGAGGGAGCAAATGCTTTTTGTGACGAAACTTAAATACGCTTAGATGGGATGGATGGATGGAGTGATTGAAATTGGCAAGCTTCTGAAATTAGAAATAATAGTTAATATATTTCTAAATTAATTCAATTTTCAAAAGTATTTAAATTCTAAATATATTTATCAAAAGCTGTGCAGTGTGTAGAAAAGGAACTGTAATATGAAATATATAAAAAGTATATAATTGACAATCATCAGTAACAAAATACAAATTGATATACTATATGAAATATATTAACATTTGTTCGTCTCAATATCTGATTATATTGCAAATCTGCCGGAAATGCGAAATAATTCGATTTTGATTTGCAAAATGTAAGTTTAATGTGTTCCACGGAGTAAAAGAGTTAAAGGTACAATTACTAAAGTACTATTTTTTAGGAACTTCATTAATTAGCATTGCTGACATAGCTGCAAGCTTATATCGCATCCAACTTTTACTATCCGTTTTACTTATATCCGTTGGCCATAGAAAAATATACACCAGAGTTAGTTTGCTGGTTATCTTCATCTACATTTACTCTTTGACCAAATATCTCTCAGAGGAGATAGCTCCCCATAGAAGAGTATGAAAAATAGCAAGCGCTGCGTATAAAAAGCAACACCAAACGGATAAGGTTACTGAGAAGGACATGAAGAAAAGAAAACTCAGCAATTCGTGAAATTTATTTGTCAAGCAACATCTCTGCTCCGCCTCAGGCCACGCCCCATTTACAGCAGACAGGTAAATTAGATAAAATTGGTAACTGGAACTCGAATGGAAACTAATTTGCATACGTTGTAGATGGGTATTCTGGGCATTCTCAATAATCGATACAACCTCACCTCATTCTCAATTTTCTCTCTCAGTTCTCTCGCTCTTTGTGTTAGCTGCAGCAGGGCAACAAATAATAGAAGCAGATGAGAGAAAAAGCAAACACTGTCGACCGTTTGCTTGACGTGCTGATTTTTCAATGCAAAGCTAAGGCCCATGCCAAATGCACGAGAATGGCTCGAACAAAAAGGTCGGGGCTGTCGTCCTTATTTGCTGATTGTATGCAGCCTTCACGGGATCAAGTTCAAGCGTTTCAAGTGCTAGGGCCTGCCCTCAGCACTGCCCGCAGCACAATGGTCCATTGCTCACTCAGTCAGATGGCCACTTAAAAATTGCCGAGAATTGTGCAACAACAGCAACAGCAACAACAATGAAGGCGACAAACGATTGCAATCATGATGATGTTGATGTTGATAATATTTTTGATGAAGTTCTCTTGTGGGGCCATTGTGTAATACAACAAAAAAAAAAAAAAAATAACACGCAACAATTTTGACTTGTTTATAAAAAACCCCCACATCTCCCGTTCTCTATCCCTCCAACTGACTCCCACTCCTGTCCCTCTCTCTCGCTCTCTCGCTCTCTCCTTGATGGATGGAATGAAGAGGCTAAACTTTTACAAGCACCTCAAAATGCTCTGAAACGCAAATACTTGAACAACATTAAAACTGATATTAAATAACACTAAGTTTCATATTTTGAAAGGGAAATTCTTTGATAGAATGAATTTGAATAAGTGCATAATATGCTTTGATATTTGATATCAGATTGATTCTGCATCCTCACAGACTGATGCTCAAACATGCATAGAACGCAATGGGCTGGTAGACTGGTAAAACGACCAACTAGAGTTGCTTATTGTCCAGCTGCAGAATGCTCAATCGACTTTACTCAGTCACTGCAGAGATAAATCTATAGATGTTCTTTAGAGTGGGTTATGCTAGAACTCAAATTTGCGGATGATAATGCTGTACCTCACTGACAACAGCCACCTGTAGTGGTAATTGGCGAATAAGTATCATCATATATACCCCTACTCAATATTTGATATCTTTATTATCTAGTACTACATTTTAATATTAGAGATCTCTAGTATTTAGTATATATATTGAGCCTACCAAGAATGCTCACGTCAAATCATCAACTTGGATGTATCTTATACCCTAGACGATTCCCGAGTATAGCCTATTAAATATTATTTGCCTGCAAATAATTTACTAATTATGTAATGCAAAATGAATTTATCGAATTAAAAGGGATGGTCATAGAAAAAGTGATTTGATCAACTTTTTTTTTTTGTATACCATATATTGTGAGCATATCATACATTGTATTTATATATTGGACTTAAACAGAGAAATTCTAATAGTATTACCCCGATTTAGTACGCCGGCTGCCGCATCCTAAATATTTCTGCCTATTTGCATGCCAAGAATATGCAAAATTGCAGCTGTGAGCAAAGCTGGATGATGGCATGATAGCAAACAAAATAAAA